GTCTTTTACTTTAACGAAGAAATTTAAAAGAGCTTATGTCTAACTTAAACAAAACTCAAGGTAGTATCAGTTACTTCCAGGAAAAAAAAAGGAAGACAAAATAATTATATATTTTTTACTTTAAAATGTGTATTAGAGAATAAGGACTGTTTTTGCTTATGTCATTTATGTTTAATAATAGCAGCTGCCATTTACTGAGTACCTACCAAGTGCCTGGCATTGTATTAAGCACTTTACATACAACATGGTAGAATGATTAAGAGTACACGCTCGGGAGTCAGGCTAAGTTTAAATGCTGACTATTTACTATCTGTGTGATCCCAAGAAAATTACTGAACTTCTCTGCCCCTGTTTGTTCATTTGAAAAAATGGGTTAATAAGAGTATTGACATCATAAAATGTTTGAGGATTAAATGTGTAGTAGACTATAAGCTTTCAATATATATTACCATTTATCATCTCATTTAAGGCATGTAGATAATTTAATGAGGCTCCCATTTTGTAGGAGGGAATATGAGGTCCAAAATGTTAGGTTATTTGACCAAGGTTAATTATCTAGGTCAAACTCAGTTACGTTAAAATCTTAAGACCTGTACTTTTAACAACTACTGTGTACTATATCGCCAAATATACCAGAGAATCTCAAATCCATTTTGGACGTGCACAGAGTATAAACAAATTTAGCAGTATTTCCCTATAAAGAGCCATTGAGTTGCCATCACAGTTGCCAAATCCACTTCTAATGGGCTCATATAAAATTCCATCCTATAAGCATTTCCAGTTCATATGCTCATCAATCATAGGAAGAAATTAAAAAACAGTTACATGCACTTCGAAACCTAGCAATTAAACAACAACAAAGACACTCAGAGTATCTCTTTATAAATACCAACATCTGTAGTTAATTTCTCCTTTCTCCTTCTTTCTTGGTAGGTGCAAATGTTTCATGTCTTAAGGGATAGATGTTTTTAGTACTATAAACTTATGCACCCTCTACAGTTGGGTTTTGCGATTAAAAAAAATTGAGTTTATGAGGGCAAAATTAATTCTATGTGAACTGGGGCTATTAATATAGAGCCAGGATTATGTCTTTGACTACTTGGTACAATGCTGGGTATGCTGTAAGAGCACAGAACATAATAACCACAATAAACGTGCTAAGGATCTGGTATTGAAGTTTCCTAGATTGAAGAATATCATTTGCTACACAGTATTATTCAACTTCAATGGAAATTACAGCTTGTTTCTAAAGATATTTAACTTTAACCTTTTTTAAAAAAATTTACTCATTTACCTATTTCTATGTGTTTATCAAGTTTATTTTCCTTTTTTAAACATAATATTCCTTTGAGGGGAAGTTAAAAGATTTAGCTTTGCTTGGCAGCTTGCCAAGTAGAAAAGCCACTATCATCAACTTTCTTTCCAAGGAAAAAATGATAGACTTAAATTCCCAGTCTAACCTCACAATTTTGATGAAATTCTCACATGATGCTAAATAAAGCAGGTTCTACACCAGGAAGGAATTTTTGTTGGTGACAAGGTAAAAATTAAACCATTACATGTGGTGATAACCAAATGAGAAAAGCAAAGTTTAAAATCAAAACAAAAGGATTATTTAAGGGAATGTCTCCATATATGTATCTTTTTTGCCTTGATAAAATATATCAAGGAAAAAGAAACCATCCATTTCCTTTTCCATTCGCAAGTGCATGTATTTGAGGAGTTTGAGACCTATTTAGGAGAAAGATTAAGAAGCAACTCAAATAGTTGCCTCATTTGATTTTTCTTAAACTTTCTTTTTTAATGTCTGACACACCCTTTCAGGAATATGCTGAAAATAATGAACCTTCTGCCTATAAAAATACATGAGCACAAAATTATCATGTAATTTCTGGAGGCTTAAGAGACCCTTGAAGACCACCTATGGATCCAGGGACGCAGGTTGAGAACCACGAGTCTCTGTAGCATTCTTTACGCTTTATAGGGTGCAGGTCAGAGCGCTGGCCAAGTTAAATCAGCAGGCTAACTGTTTGCCTGCTGTTTGCAACACTAACGACTTTATATAGTTTTTATAGATTTCTAAGTGCTTTCTCATATGAGCTATTTTATGATACACCAGTCCAGAAAGTAGACATCTAGGTACTCAGCTAGACAAATTAGGTAAGAAAAAGGATAATATCGAATACCTAATCTATACCATGTTGCTTACCAATGTCTGATATTCCATTAGAATCAGATTTTGTATAAATAAAAATGCTCCCTCATGAAACATAAATTTCCTTGGCTGGTGAACATTGAATTGCTCAGCAGCTAATACATTAGAATGGATATATATTAGATTCTTTCCAATGAGGAACAAAATACTCAGGTTTTGAAGGCATTAAGATAGCTACCTTGAATACATTCATAAACAAAATCAACAGTACGGTGATTGCAGAGGGAAAGAGGGCTGGGTGAGGTAGAAGAGGGTATAGGGGAGATAAATGGTGATGGAAGGAGTCTTGACTTTGGATGGTGAACACACAATGCAATATACAGATGATGTGTTATAGAATTGTATGCTTGAAACCTATATAATTTTATTAACCAATGTCAGCCAACAAATTCAATTAAAAATGTTTTTTAAAAGACACGTTGATCAACAGTTCTCAAAGTTTTATCTGAGGACACTGATGAAGTACAGGATGTCTTCCCTTTCCCAATTATTTATCTGTACAAGTCTAGATTCTTTCCACATACTTCAACCAAACCAACATATTTCAACATATTGGATGCAGAACAGACATGAGAATCCAGCTGTCTTCTATTAAGCCAAACATCAAGGATATTTACAAAGATGGAAACAATGCCACACCTCACAAATTGTTTTGGAAAGCAGAGTTAACTTGCAATGCATTTTTTATTTTAAATAAATTTACAAATATTTTAAAACTCTATTTTAATTTCTAACTATTAAACATTAATAGATATGGTCCATACAAAAAAGGCTCTTTTGAGACCTTCTAAATTGTGTTTTTAAGGAGACAAAAAAGTTTGACAACTGGGTAAGTCCCAGAAGACAGGTCTGGATGGGATGAGCAAGTGTAGGGTTGGGAGGAGCATGAATCCATCAGTCAAGGCGCTGTGTATCTCGTCTTGAGGATAGGGTTCTTTGGATGGTACTCAGAGAAAAGGGAAAGATGTAGTACAGTCTTCCTTCATTTTGCTTGTGGCATGTCCTAAACACAGCCTTTATGCTAGTGCCACTTCTAGAAAAGATCCCAATAAAGAAGCAGGTAGAGCCCAGAATCCTAAAACTAGGGCAGACAGCTGCAGGTTGTTGAAGAACACTGAAGCTACTCCTGACAGTGGAAAACATTTTTTGGAGTTCGAGGTTTTTAGGTGGTTTTTTTTTTGGGGGGGGGGGTTGTTTCCACGACGACACAATATTTGTTAATTACTGGATTTTGTACTATTTGTTGATACATTTTTTAATTTTTTGGAATGCCATTTCCTGGAGGAAAAAAGCCTAAAGAGGACAAGTAGGTAGCGAATAGAGATAAGGCCTAAACCAACCTTCAAAAAGTGTCTTAAAATTTAGCATTTACCTACTATGCACTAAATATTGTACTATAGAATATGTTGTGTATTGGGGAAGCAATCTTAAATTCAGAATCAGAAAAACTGTTTCAAGTTTACTTGCTACATTGTTTTGAGTGATTTAATCTCCGAAGACTCATTTTCTTATCTATAAAATGTGGATAATAGTATTTATCTCAAAAGGGCGTTAGGGATTAGAGATAACCCGTGTCAATAGGCAGCACAGTGCAGCGTATGTAGGTCTTCAATGAATAATGGGAGAGCATGAGTAAAGCCAACGTTAAATCCAGTAAGGGAGATAAGACTGCTAGACAAATACTTTAAAAATACAAGGCGGAAGGTCTGAAGTGTCAGTGTCACTACAAACGTATTTATAAAGTGTAACGGAAATCTAAGGGAAGGAGTGGGTCACAGTTTTGGGGATCCAGGGTATGTGTTTAGGGAAATTAGACAATGCTACTTGAACCCCCGCACTGCTACCACTACTGCACCTCCAAGGTCGCCTCCAGCATAGCATCACCGCCCAGCTCCAACTGACGACCCCTCCCCGCCACCCCCCCCACCCCGCAACCTGCCCCGCCCGGTGTCAAACTGCTCCCCGCGGTTTCCATGCCAGAAAGCTCTGCACTTCAGCCTTGCCCGACCCTCCCCTGGCACCTTGAGCGTGGGTGTGCAGCCCGAGGTCCCCAGCAGGCATCCACACCGACCCGCGGCCCTGTGGGCCGTGCTACCTCGCGTCCACCCGGCCCGAGCTCCGTGCCGATACAGAGCAGAGGCATGTAAGGGTAGGAAAGACCTCCCAAGTCCCAACCCTCCCACCACCCACTCTCCCCTCAGACGCTAACACTCCTCAGCCTCCCAGCTCGCCCTCACACCACCCGCAGGGGCAACGCCGAGGCCCGGGACTGCGGCGGAGCTGCGCAGCGGGCCCTCACTCAGGATCCCGGGGGAACCTAGCGGCCGGGGTTCGCGCGCTCGTTCATCGATTGGCACTGCCTTGCTCCTCCAGCTCCAGTCGCGGAGAAACCGACTCCAGACTTGGAAAGTCTAGCTGAGCGCTTGGGGGAAAGGGAACCAGGGAAGGCGGGCCAGGGGATTGCCGATCGCATGGATGAGCGCGGCTGCCGGCTCGCGTTCTGTCTGGCGGGTGGCGGCGCCAGCCAGCCTGTGCCGCGCCAGGCCAGAGTCGCGCGGCCGCTGCTCCCTCGCCTCGCGCCCGCGCGCGCGTTGTCGGCCCCGGGGAGGGCAGCCCAGCGTAGGGTTCTCACGCTGCCGGGGGTGGGAGCCGAGAGTGGCGGAGGGAGGGAGGGAGCGCGCGCGGGCGGCGGCCCCTCCCCTCCTCCTCCCGCCGCCGCGGAGAGCGCAGGGAGCAGCCGGGGGCTCGGCGGCGGCGGCGGCGGCGGCGGCGGCGGCGTCTGGCCCCAGCTCCTCCTCCTCTTTTTCCTCCTCCTCCATCTCCTCGCTCCCTCCATCTGCCGTGGTTATGGCCCGACTCTGGAGCACAAAAGAGTCTCCGCGGTGGAGGTCTGCGTTGGTCTTGCTTTTCCTCGCTGGGGTGTACGGTAAGTGTCCGCGTCCCCGCGCCCTGCTGACCGAACAAAGCTGGGGCGACCCTGGGCCCCGAGGCCTCCAGGACAGGGGTTTCCCGGGAGAACCGGGGAGAGACCCTGGGTGTCGGCGGGACAAAGACCCGGAGAGGGGTTAGATGCAGCGGAGGAGGTGGCCCCGCGCGGAGATGCTTTCGGGTTCTCATCCACCTCCAGACCCTCGGGGTGTTGAAGAAGGGCTTGGGTGTCCCGGCCGGGGGGGAGCCCTGATGGAGCAGGGGGGTGGCCGGCGGACTTCCCGACCTGGGCTGGAGGGCCCCTTGTACGACCAACCCACACACCGATGTATGACTGTGAGAAAGAAGGGGAAGTCGCCCCCGTCGCTGCCGGGACGGTCCTGCCAACCCTCGACCTTTCCTCGGGGTTAGGAAGTTCTCTCCCAGTGAAATTCCCACTGCAGCAGCCCCCCATCTTTCCCTCTCCCTGAAAAAGCAGCCCGCTGCTTTCTTCGCATCTCTGCGCTCGGGGGCCGAGACTCTGCCGATCCCGGGCGTGCAGGATCCTGTTCCTGCCCCCGGAGCACCACGCGGGAGAAGGCCAGAAAATAGTTTCCAGCCCCACCTCAGTTTCTCTCTCTCAGGGCAAATGTGTCTGCGCCGACTCCCTAGTTCATTTCTCATTTCATCCATCATTGCCCGCTAACTTGTCACTGTTGCTTTATTCCAATCTATGAATTGGGTTGTTTACCGTATATTCCCTTGAGGTTAAGAGAACCCCCGAAGACGCTATGTAAGAACTAAACTGTATATTTCATTGGGTTCCGAACAAGAGCTAAGGAATTAATTAGAAAGGACATTCATTGTTTGAGAAACTTGAGTTCCACTACTGATTTAACCATTCTTAGTTTATCAAACATATTGGTCGGCGTTTCAGAAGACACAGTTAACCTTGAGTTTTTGGAGTGGTGCTTTGATTTCTTCAGAAGGAATAATTGGAAGTTACCCATCCATGGTTAAATTTTACTTGGAAAAAGTCTAGGTCCTTTGCCAGAAACACTACCACCACCCGTGGTAGTGGCGATGGAGTTTGGTCAACATGTAATCCATGAGCAAGTATTAACTCCTTTGAAAGCATTTTATCTGTGGGATTAAATGGGATGGTAACTTTTAAAACCCGGGAAATTACACATAAAGAATTTAATGAACTATGAAATTAACTGACAGCCAAGAAATAGCTTTTGGATGTGATTCAGAATGTATTGCTGCCTAACCTGATTAATATATTATTTTTGTTTGTTTGGTGAGGGGCAAGGTTTAGTCCACATTTGATGTGATAATTGCCAATGGTGTGCCTGTGTGTGACCAGAAAACACAGTGCATGACTTCTGATTGTCAGTTGCATCTAGTGGCTGCGATCCCTACTTGCCTGATGACTTGTGGGTTTGGGTCTACACCAGAGAGATCAATAAGCTGTTACGTTGTTTTTCTAGCCTGAAGGTGAGTATAGTTCTGCTCTGCGTATAGTAATGGCCCAGGAGAGAGGAGAAAGTGAGAGGGCTCTTTAATCTAAGGTGATTAGGACTGTCCAGCTTTATCCTCTACTATAATCAGACTTGAATTTTAGTGATGTCTGATTAGACTGGATAAATAAATGGGTTCTTTTGCTCTTCTCTCATTAAAACCTGTGTCATTAGTGTTTGAACTAAAACTCTTCTTGCCTCTAGGCATGAGAGGCTGTGAACCCCGTAATTTGTCTTGGTACATTCTTTTGTACTTGTAAACAAAACGACTTTCTGGTAGGTGCTTATCAGAGATTTATGGTTTTGGAATTTGTGTTTAGTGAGGAGTTGTTAGGAGGCAAAGATAGAAACTTCTTTTTCCAACAGTGTGCAACCAAATTATAAAACTAGCAAGTGATTTTTGCCAAGGGTTGATGTCTCAAGCCACAACAAGTTTCAAAGTATAAGAAAAAAAGGAGGTAGTGAGCCAGGCACAACATTCAACTGTGTGAGCAGAGATTAAAGGAACCCTTTACCCTGCAACTGGGGAAATTCTCTTTATAGCTGTGGTTTATGTCCTCTTCTGCCTCTCTTACCATATGTGGGTTTATAGAGAATAATAGGATGGGGGAGGGGTGCTTCCATAACTGTAGTGAGGTTTAACTTGAATATGCACTAGCTGTAATGAATAGTGGATTCATACTAAGAAATACCCATCACCTTAAAATAGCTGTAATTTATGAAACTGTCCCTTATACATCAAAAAGTGGGGGTTTTTTAAGTGGCTTAAAAAATAGTTAGAAAGCTCTGTTAAAACAACCAAGTGTTGAGAGTAAATCTTAACGTAGATCCAGCGAAGAAAAGCAGGTTGATTGGTCAATATTTAGGCAGTTCAAGTTAACTAGCTCTTTAGAATGACTCTTATCTATTAACTACAATATTAAATGGCTCCAAATTGTACCTTGAACCTTTGAAACATTTCATATATCCTCTTTTTAAAATCTTTATTTTGGTGTTTAGTCTCTTCACATGGCCATTTTAATGGACTATGTGACTATTATATTTGACCATTTTAGTGGAATAATGTGACTATTATACTCCAAGTTACTTTTCTGAATACCAAAGCCTTATTTGAAACTCTAAATTGTGATATGGAACAGTGTTAATGTTCTCTAGAAGTAGTTCAAGGACCAATAATTATCTTTCAGGAGCTGCTACTTTGAATGTTCCTGAAAGTTAGTAGAAAGTAAAGGTTGATTTGGAAGTTTTGGGGGAGAGTAGCATTAGTAGGGGCAACCCTGAGCTTTACTGGGCATTGTTTTAGGCCTGCTGGGCAAGGAGAAGCTGCTGCTTCACAGTTCACATAGGGATGTCTGGCTTTTATGAATGCAAGGAGCTTTCTAACACTGTGTCCTCCTTAGTGGAAGCTGTTATTTGGTAGAGCAATGATTTGGTAATTGTTAACAGTTTCATTGCTTTATCCTTCTCCACCTCTGTTTGTCTCCCACATCAGTGTATTCTAATTTTTTTTTTCACTCAACCCCCCCCCACACACACACAATATATTACTCCCAGGATACAAACCAGAGTTCATGAAATAATACTTAACCTTACTACCTGTGGTGCACCCTTACGTTTCATATTCTATTTAACCTTCTTTCATTCTTTCCTGGCTTTGGCCGATTAAATTATTTTTGGACCCACTAGTAGATTACAACCTGTAATTGTAATTTGAAAAACACTGCCCTAGATGAAGCCATAAAATGTAATTTAAAATGTTGGCTGTATTTGTGTTATCGTTTACAATAACCTTAGAGATGGTTAATTTTGGTTACTTGCTGCCAGAGCATTTGGTAGCGGTTAGAACTCTTCCTGGCATATGCTGACTAACCTGTGACCAAGTCTTCTTTAAACTGGATTTCAGCTTACTATAGCCAAAGGTCTCTCCTGTATACAGTGCTCTTTTACAATACGTGCTGTGTAGTGTAAAATATTCTTAACTCTTACATTTTATATCTAATGAGTGAATCTTTTCCCAAGAATTTTAAGGACCATTCAGTAGCATTTTATAAATTTTCAGTGTAAGGATAGACTAAAAGTTCCCGTTTTAAAAAGACTGTAGAAATAATTAGAGCATGAGAAAAAAAATCTAAACCAGATTCCAGTTTCTTCTAAACAACTCAAGCTCGATCACATAAAATATGTTGAAGAAAACTGAATTAATTGTTCAACGTAAACTCTTTCTGGGCTTATAATCGAAGTTATAGCCAAAGCCTAGGGAGAATATGAAAGTATGCAGCACATTTCACAAAATTCTAGGTGGATGTCAGGCAGGAAGTAGTAAATGACCACTTTCAGAGGGAGAATTCTGTTCCAGGAAGAGCATGGAAGGGATGTGAATGAGGTATGGTAAATGATTTAAGATTCCTAGAAAGTAAAATCTCTGAAGAAAGCATAAAAGTGATGTCAGACTGAAAAGTGAACATCAGTTACAGAAGATGTTTAGAAAGAAAAGACTGACTTTTGTGATTAGAAAATTTAAAGCTTATCAAGAAAATAAAGGAACAATGAGAACTTTTTGTGTTTTCAATCTGAGATGTTTTTGTAGTTGAGGTTTATTGTTTTTTCTGACATCAGTATTACAATTTAATGAATAAAAGATTAAAAAAGGAGGTAAACATTCAGTATAGATGAAACTTATGTAAATTTCAACAATTAGAAAATGTATTTCATAATTTTATTTTTATTTTTAAAATTTTTATTTATATTTTATTATACTATTACAATTGTCCTGATTTTTCACTTTTTGCCCACCCCCCTCCGCCCAGCACCCCCACTCCCTCAGGCAGTCCCCACACCATTGTTCATGTCCACGGGTCAGCTGTATAAGTTCTTTGGCTTCTCTGTTCCCTATACTGTACTTTACATCCCTGTGGCTATTCTGTAACTACCTATTTGTACTTCTTAATCCCCTCACCTCTTTACCAATTCTCCCCCACCCCCATCCCATCTGGCGACCATCAAAACACTCTGTATCCGTGATTCTCTGTTTTTAATTTGCCAGAGTTGTTTTTCAGATTCAATTGTTGATAGGTTTGTATTTTTTGCCATTTTATTGTTCATAGTTTTGATTTTCTTTTTACTTAAAAAGATCTTTTTAACATTTCGTATAATAATAGTTTGGTGACAATGAACTACTTTAGTTTTTTTCTTGTCTGGGAAGCTCTTTATCTGCCTTTCGATTCTAAATGACTGTCTTTGCTGGGTAGAGGGATCTTGGCTATAGGGCCAAGTTTTCACAACTTTGAATGTTTCTCCTAATCCCTTCTAGCCTGCAAAGTTTCTTTTGAGGAATCAGCTGACAGTCTTATGGGAACTCCTCTGTAAGTCACTAACTACATTTCTCTAGTTGCTTTTAAGATTTTCTCTTTATCTTTAACCCTTGGCCTTCTAATTATGATGTGTCTTGGAGTGGGCCTCTTTGCATCCATCTTGTTTGAGACTCTGTGCTTCCTGG